TATTTATCTTCGAATTTGGTGTATTCCTTATTTACTAAATATATGTAAATACATAAGTTTATATACATACATACATATTTACATTTCCAATCTCTCGAACTGGGAGATCTTTTTTTTTGGTGTATATAATCAGCATCGCGACATTTTTCGCTACTTTACTGTGCGTGCCTAAGTACATATAAACAATCGTACATTTATATACAAGTACATACAGCACATATTTACCCGTATCGGTGCATTTTCGGTTTTTTCCTATTGCACGCACCTTTTGTTCGTGTTGGCGCTCAGCTGGTGACTTTGCATTTTTTTGCTTAGTCGCCTGTGTATTTACATTCATACACACCTACATACCTACAAGTGCATATACATATTAGCTCAAGTGACCCAGTAGGAAATTTTTGCATTGACCCTGTAGGAAATTTCTATATTTACATCATTAGTTTAGTCAATCAGTATTTGCTGTTTTTCGATTAATTGGTGGCGCTTATCATTCCTTTCGTGTTTTTCAATAATTTAGTTCTTTCGTTATTTGTACATAAATCGACTCTCGTTCTTTGACAAGTATGTCTACCTTAAGTTATTTCACTAGGTGCTCAGATCAGATTGTCGAATTCAATGCGGGATTCGATGAAGCGACTTTGAACGAGCATTCGAAAATTTCTTTAGAGATTTTGAAAACGGAGTTGATAGACATTTGGTCTAAAACTAAAAATGCATGCGAAAAATGCTTACAAACTCTGAAAGATGAAGATGAGGTAGAAGCCGTAAAAGCCAAACAAAATTCAACTTTTAAAGATTATCTTTCGTGTTTGTCGCGCATTAGCGAAGGCATTCAGAAGTACAGCGTGACGGCTGATACTGCTTCTTATGTGCCCCCTGCCCAAGTACCCAAGCGCTCCAATAATTTGAACCTACCGCCATGTGACACAGAAATATTCCATGGTGACTATGTGTCGTGGCCATCCTTCCGTGATCTCTTCACCGCGATTTACATTAATAATGCGGATCTGAGTAACATCGAAAAACTCTTCCACCTTCGACATAAAACAAGCGGCGAAGCACGAGACATCGTTAGCAAACCACCACTATCAAATGAGGGATTCGACATCGCATGGTCAAATTTGAAGGCAGCGTACGAAAATAAACGGGTTTTGGTCAACAAGCAATTGAAGCTGCTTTTTTCGCTTCCGGTTATTCGGACCGAAAGTGCACCCGCGTTAAAGGAGCTCCAGCGAGGCATAAACGGATGTCTATCAGCGTTAGCAACGTATAACGTCAACGTTGGGAATTGGGATCCGATCCTAATCTTCCTGTGTTCAAACCGACTCCCTGAAACAACACTTTCTCTGTGGGAACAAACACTACTAGATAAAGCTGCTATACCGGAATGGAGTCAGATGGATGCATTTCTCACTCAACGCTTCAGAACTTTGGAATCGATAGTGGATGTGAAATGGTCAGCTTCATCTTCTTCAGCCACCCAACATCAAAAAGCATTCTCACATCAACCCAACCCGGCGGGTCAAAAGAAGGTGTCTCTGGCGACAAATATTTCTCAGTCTTACTGCATAATGTGTCAGAAACAACAACATCCTTTGCGTTTATGTACAAAATTCTTGTCACTTTCGATTAATTATAGGTTCACTGCAATTAAAAAACACAACTGCTGTCTAAACTGTCTTTCAAAAGGCCATTCGATAAAAGACTGTAAAAGTCAATTCTCGTGCACTAAGTGCAAAAGTAGACATCATACTCTACTTCACAGAGTGTCTTCTAACACTCAACCCCCAAAAGAAACTGCAGGTGGAACTGCTTCACAGGCATTCCATACAAATATACAGTCCGCTTCTTCTAACAGTATGTTGTCGACAGCTGAGGAAAATTTGAAATCGTCAGGCTTATCCTCAGCTCTACTTGGAACCGCCATGGTTCACATCTGCCACTTGGGCTCAACTTATATAGCTCGCGCTTTAATTGATTCAGCTTCAGAAGCCTCGTTTATTTCTGAACGACTTCGAAAACTTTTAAAACTACCGTATTCCAAGACAAATGCGGTTATTTCGGGATTGAATCAAAGGGTTTCTAACAGCGCATCGAAAATTTGTTCGTTTGTTTTAGGCTCACCCCGTGATCCAAATCTTTTAATAGAAGCTACTGCGTTTGTATTACCACAAATCACTGGTAACTTACCCTCGACCTCAATAGATGAATCCATTCTAGAAAAACTGCCTAAAGTACCTTTAGCAGATTCGAAGTTTTTGCAAAGCGGTCCTATCGATGTTTTGATCGGAGGAGATTTGTACCCCAAGGTTATGTTAGACGGGGTAAAACGTAGTATTCAATACAACCTTCTGTCTCAAGAGACGGTGTTTGGGTGGATTGTCACTGGGGCATCTTCCACTGCACACGTCTCTTGCTTTGCTACAAAAGTCTCAATGGGAGAGGACATTTCGTTAGATAGCCAACTACGCAAGTTCTGGGAGTTAGAGGAAGTCCCAAAAAATAACCTTCAATCAGAGGAGGATATGTTTTGTGAAGAGCTGTACTTGAAAACAACTACTAGGAATTCGGAAGGAAGATACGTGGTTTCGCTACCGTTTAAAAACTTTTATCCAACGGATGTTAAGCTAGGATCATCGCGTCCCATTGCATTTCGGCAATTTATTCGTAACGAAGCAAGGTTAACGAAAAATCCATCTTTAAAGGAAGAGTATGACAAGGTTGTTCAAGAATATTTGGATCTAGGGCACATGGAGAAAGTAGAGGCTCCAAGTTTTGAACATTCTCCTAGTCATTTCTACCTTCCTCATCATGCAGTCTTGAAACCGGAAAGTACTTCCACGAAATTAAGGGTAGTTTTCAACGCGTCCAGCAATTCTTCGAATGGAGTTTGTCTTAACGATACTTTACATGTAGGCCCAACCCTTCAAGCTGATTTGACCTTGCTACTGATACGATGGCGGATGTATAAATACGTGTTTAATAGTGACATCCAAAAAATATACAGGCAAATTTTAGTTAACCCGTCTCATAGGCCCTATCAAAGGATTCTTTTTAGAAAGGATCCACATAGTGGTATACAAGATTTTCAGTTAAGGACGGTAACGTTTGGAGTTAATTGTGCGCCATACTTGGCAATTAGGACTCTTCGGCAGTTAGCTCAGGATTCTCATGATTCACATCCACTAGCGGCTCAGATTTTACGAAATTCTATGTATGTAGATGACGTTTTAGCGGGATTTCACGATGTGTCCACAGCTTTACAGGCACGAGACCAGCTGATAGAAGCACTTGATAGTGCAGGATTTTCTTTGAGGAAATGGTCTTCAAATTCCAAGGAAATCCTCATGGATCTTCCTCATGAGCATTTATTAAAGAGAGAATTTTTAACTTTAGATGAGACAAGCACAACAAAAGCACTAGGGATTAGATGGAATGCTAGATTAGACCATTTTTTCTTCAGCGTTCAGACCCTCCCTTCAAAGGATAGCTACACTAAACGAGAAGTGTTGTCAACGATAGCGAAACTTTTTGACCCAGCTGGTTGGCTAGCTCCGGTGGTGGTCGTAGCTAAAATAGTGATGCAACAAATTTGGTCAGATGGTACTCTCTGGGATCAGCCTATAAGTTCTCAAACACTTTTTAAATGGAAAACCTTTGTAGAAAGTTATAGGTATATCGATGACATAAAAATTCCGCGTTGGGTGAATTTCACCATTGAGTCACCATTCGAAGTCCATGCCTTTTGCGACGCGTCGGAAAAGGCATACGCGGGGGTGATATATTTGCGGGTAGAAAACCACGGTACAGTGTCGTCGCACCTTTTATTAGCAAAAACTAAAGTTGCACCCATAATAACTATTTCGCTTCCTCGTTTGGAGTTGTGTGGGGCGGTTCTAGTTGTCGATATGCTTAGGTCTCTTCTAAGTGAACTTCCTTTCAAGGTGGAAAACATATTTTGCTGGACAGACTCAACCATCGTTCTCTCTTGGCTCAAAAAGCGGCACTGCTCCTGGACCACCTTTGTCGCAAATCGAGTAGCAAAGATACAGGAATTAGTCGGATTTAGGCATTGGAATCACGTGGACTCGAAGGATAATCCAGCAGATCTTGGCAGCAGAGGAGCATACCCTCAGGACTTATGCGCAAGCGAGTTGTGGTGGTACGGCCCTTCCTGGTTAGGTAAAGATGCAGGGCAATGGCCATCAATGGATGACGAACTGGACGATATCACGATCGAAGCAAGGAAAATAAAGGCGCACGCTTCGCTTGTGTCAAGCCATGAGGATCCCTTAGAAAGATTTTCATCTCTTCCGCGTGTTTTAGCTTACGTCTTCCGGTTTTACAACAGGACTAACCGGCACATTCGAAGATTCCACTCGTATCCATCGCTTGCGGTTTCGGGAGAGGAAATCTCGAAAATTCGTATTCGGCTTATAATTCTGGCACAGATGAAGCATTTTTTGGAAGAACAGAGATGTCTGACTTCAAAAACTCCAATTTCGCCGAAAAGCAAACTTTTAACCTTGAATCCCTTCTTAGACTGTCAGGGTATAATGAGAGTCAATGGTCGACTCGCAAATTCGCTTATTTTATCTTATAATGAAAAACATCCCATTCTTCTACCTTATAGTTGTTCGTTCTCAAGGTTGTTAGTTCACTTGATCCATAACATTTCTCTTCATGGAGGAAATCAATTGATGCTGCGGCTGCTTCGCCAACAGTATTGGATTCCAAAGGCAAAGAATCTCATAAAGACTGTCATACATAACTGCAGAACTTGCGTCATTCACAAAAAGCGGAATCAATCCCAAATCATGGCTGCCCTTCCTGAAGAGCGAACGACCCTTTCCAGGCCTTTTCAAAATACTGGAGTCGATTTTGCCGGCCCATTTGATATTAAGAGTTTCACTGGTAGAGCATGTAAAATCACCAAAGGTTATGTTTGCATATTTGTATGTTTTTCCACACGGGCAATTCACCTGGAAGGTACAAGCGATCTGTCCACAGAGACCTTTCTTGGCGCATTCTCGCGATTCATATCTAGACGAAGCTGCCCTCAGCAAATCTTTTCGGACAATGGGACCAATTTTGTAGGTGCGGCAGCTAACTTGAAAAAGGAATTCAAGAAATTCCTAACCACGTCGCGGGAGTCTTTGTGCAATATGTACAGTCATCAGGAGGTGTCTTGGAACTTTATCCCTGCCGGCGCTCCTCACATGGGAGGACTATGGGAAGCTGGAGTTAAAAGCATCAAATTTCATTTTCGACGTACCGCCGCTTCTCAAAAATTCACCTTTGAAGAGTTTCAAACCCTACTTTGTCGCATTGAATCCTGTCTAAATTCTAGGCCGATATCGCCCAATTCCACCGACGCCGCAGATTGTGCAGCCCTCACACCTGGTCACTTTCTCACGGGGGGTCCCATACTTTCTCCCCCCGAACCCTCCATAGAAGCAAACCCAGTCTCGATAATTAATCGGAGGCAAAAAATAAAGGCTCTTAGCCAGCAACACTCTCTGCGATGGAAAGAGGAATATCTCAAAGAACTCCATAAACGCTACAAATGGAAATCCCCTCAAAAAGACATCGCCGTCGATGACCTAGTTGTAGTTCGCCATGAAAATCTCCCTCCTAACGAGTGGCGCTTGGGCAGGGTCACAAAGATTTATAAAGGCTCCGATAAAAGAATTCGTGTTGCAGACATTCGCACACAAAAGGGATTGATAACGCGACCTATCGTGAAGTTAGTGGTCTTACCAAACTAACCCCTCATATCAATACTTTCCTTTTTTTTGCCGCTTTAGCATCAAGACCATGGAACTAGTTCCCGTAGACCGATCGACACCATCATCGCCACGCGCCTCGCCTCCACCGCCACCGACAGATGCCTCCGCCCAGCGCGCAGCCAGGGAAGGCAGGTCCAAATGTAGAGTTTGCCACCGGTCGCATCCTCTCCGGTATTGTAGGCGATTCTTAGATGCCAACTACGAGCGCCGGCTGCGCCTTGTGCTTCTCCATCGATATTGCTCGCGATGTTTAGCCCACTCCCACACGGCCAAGAACTGTCTGAGCAACGGGACGTGCCAATATTGTGAGGAAAAGCATCACACCCTGTTGCATGCAAACCACCGTCTTTCTCCCCGACGCCAACTTCCCCTACTTTTAACGCAGCTTTCGGGAACAGTCACCGTTCTACCCACCGTTGCGGTTTACCTACACATTGGGCCTCGGAAATTTTTAGCTCGGGCTCTGATAGACCCTTGCTCGCAAACGAGCAAAATTTGCCACGCACTGGTGCACCGGCTCCGCCTAAAGACGGTGCCCGTGGCGAATACCAGCATGTGCGAGCTCCACGTAAGCTCGTCAAATGATGCACATGTGCGATTCTCCTTGCCGGCGAGGGTACTGTCGGAGATCGGGTTGAAAACTCCCGCTCGTCATCTCAGCCAAGCGACGCGGGACAAATTCATTAACCTCAAGCTCGCCGATCCTGGTTTCCACACTTCCTCTGCCGTCGCCTTGATTTTCGGTGGGGATGTATATCATAAAAGCATAAGAGGCGAACTTATTGCTTATCCTGGGTTTCCTACCGCCCAGAACTCTATTTTCGGTTGGGTCCTTTCTGGACCATGTGCCCTTTAAGGCACAGCGACCCCTTACTGGGTAAATTATATAGTATTTTTAAAGTTTGAATTTAATTGGAACTGAATTATTTGAATAAATGTAAAAAAAAAAAAAACCAACACAAGAGAGTTCAACAATTTAATATTTTTTGCACGCATCCTAGTTTTAAGTATCGTACTGAATTTGAATTTGTATATATTATATTTCCATCTCTAGCTAAACCTACTTTTTAAGTAATCTAATTTGAAGCATCTTGCAATTCCTCAGTATTGCAAGGCTGGCGGCAATGTTGAAGCCAAAAGCCTTCAATAGTTGGGAACCACTGGTAAGTGTTCTGCACCGCTGTTCGCTGCAAAGCTACACCGCTGCGGGAAAACTACCGGTGGGCTTCTTTCGAAGTTCAAGATTATTTAATGCGATGTTCGGTTTGAACTGCGGTTCTTTTTGATGACAGCAGCCAGACCGACAGCAGCATTGAGTCAGCGATCACTATTTAAGGTAATCCATATGTATATTGTGAACATCCATTCCTTTGTCCTACTTTGCTTATGTACATCGTATTTGAGTAAGGCATATAACTTCGTATATGCGCTTGCAATAAACCGTCTTACATACATATATACTTATTCTAATACAAGTGTTTATATTTCTTTTTTTCCTTGTGATACATCGTCGTGAGTTCGCACCGGCGTACGTTGGTTTTGCTTCTCAGCAAAACACCATGTTTTAGGCTAAAAAAATTTTACTTTTTTCGGGTAGGTGGACCAGGGACCGGTCTATTCGAAAAAATCTTATTATAGTCCGATTTTCTTAAAATTTAGTACGTAAGTAGCTTTTTAGCATATATTAGCATATATGACCCATTTTTTTCGGGAAGTGGTCCAGGGACCGATCTATTCGAAAAAATCGAATTTACGGTCCGATTTGCTTAAAATTCGGTGCGCAGGTAGCTTTTTAGCATGTATTAGCATACGTGATAAATTTTTTCTGAGAAGTGGACCAGGGACCGATCTATTCCAAAAAATCATATTTATGGTCCGATTTTCTTAAAATTCGGTACGTAAGTAGTTTTTTAGCATATATGATCCATTTTGTCCGAGAAGTGGACCAGCGACCGATATGTTCGAAGAAATTGTATTTATGGTCCGATTTGCTTAAAATTCGGTACGTAGGTAGCTTTTTGCCTGGATAAGCTTATAGATTCCTGTTTTCCAATTTTCATGCAATGTCGAATATAAATAGCTTTAAGTAACGACCATATCAAGGGGCGAATTCGTCACTAGGCAAGATTTTTTGCGCCAATCAGAAACAACGGATACTGTAAAAATATAATTATAATATATAATATATCTCAACTAATATATATTTAGAAAGCCGTTTGTTAGTTTTCGCAAGGCTCGAGAGCGGCTGAACCGATTTTTTTGAAACTGCCACCTGCCGCACGTGTCCCAAGGATGGTTTTAGGCTGAAAAAAATCTATATATAAAGGGGGCGTGGCACTTCCCGTACAAACCGAATTTCTCATGCTACGTATCTCTGAAAGTGTGCATGGTAGAGTTTTAGAAATTGGTATGGAGATATACGAAATCAATCACATACCCGTGGAGAAAAATTTTAGCTATTGTAAAAAGGGGTGTGACATCTCGCATACAAACCGATTTTTTCATACTGCTTATCTGTGGACATTTTTTGGTAGAGTTCTAGAGTTTTGTATGGAGATGTACGAAATAAATCGCATACTCTTGGAGAATAATTGGAACTATTGGAAAAGGGGGCGTGGAATCTTCCATACAAACCGAATTTTTCATACTGCCTATCTTTGGAAGTGTTCATGGTAGAGTTCTGAAACTTGGTATGGAGATATACGAAATCAATCGCATACTCATGAAGAAAGAGGGCAGCTGTTGGAAAGGGGGACTTAGAACCTCCCATATAAATCGAATTTTTATACTGCATATCTCTGAAAGTATTTATGGTACAGTACCGGAACTTCATATGGAGATATGTATATAGTTGAAATCAAGCCCATACTCATGGAGAAAATTTGGGCTATTTGAAAAGGGGTGTGAGGCCTACAAACGTGCCGACCTTTAGCTATCTTTGAATGAATTTTTTTATTCTTCTGTAGGTGTGTTTGTGAGTGAAATCCTCCTAAATGGTTGCACGGATTTTAACGAAACTTTTTGTGTATTTGAGTGGGTCTCTGGATAGTTTAGTTTCACAATTTAATCCGACAGTTGGCGCTGAGTTATTACTAAAAATCTTATTTATGATCCGATTTGGCTAATGTTTTAAATATGTATGCAATACTATTGCAAAAACGTGCTGCCAAGTGGTGCTGAATTCGAGCTATTACTAAAAATAGCCGAGTGAGAAAAGGGGCCGTGAAGGTCAGATTAAATCAACCTGTTGCACCATTGATGCGTTGCAATTGGCCCAATAGATGTGATTTTCCAATATTATTATGCGTTAAAACTTTGAAGGTATTTCGTCTGAAATAAGTATATGTATATTGCATTTCTGTAGAACAATGATTCGCATCCATTTTGAAATTGCCACCTACTATACTGTAAAGCTTCTAGGACATTCACTATAGAACCGGGTATTTTTGCCGCCAGGGAGTGAAGAGGAAAAAATTTATTTCGCTTTGCGAATAACCGTGCTATGAAATGCCGCACAACTGGAGAATTTCAAGAACGGATATAACACTTTCCTTAGGTTATTTAAAGCGGCAAATGACCACCAAACCTTAATCTTAGCAGACAAATGTGCCAATGAAAATCGTAAACGTGAATTGTTGGTGAAAATGTTGGACCAAAAAGATTCCATAAAATATATAAAAATTTTGGGCAGGACGAAGTTCGCCGGGTCTGCTAGTAGCTATATAAAGCGCCTTTTAGAATTCTTAATATGAATATAAAGTGTACTAAATTGGCGGTTCATGATTCTATGATTTATATGTTAAAAATAGTTTAGCCGGCAGCCGGATTCCAACATTTCTATCGCTAATTTTGATCGGCAAAAATCTCGAAACGAATCGCAGACGCCCCTGACAAAACGCAACATCTAGTTGCATGCCCGCCACACTGCCAAATTTGGTTGATTACGCATCGTATATGTTATGCTTTTCATTTAGAGAATTTCAGCGACGAAAATTTTGCGTAGCGAATGTCAGAATTCCACAGGCTTAGATGGTTCAGTGAGGATTTCGATAATATCGCCGATATATCGATAGTTTAAACGATCACTATCGCATCTATCGATGGTGCCGACTATCGATAGTTTGACAGCTCTACCAAGCAATATTCGTCAGAATATAAATTTTCGGCCAAATTTCATAGTAAATGCTAAAAAGGAAAACTGAGAAGATAAAAATTAAAAAAAAAATATGTACTAAATAAATATAAAAAATTCAAAACTCCAA